ATGTGTCCCCATATCCCCTCCCTCTTGAGCCTCCCTCCCACCCTCCCTAACCCAGCCCTCTAGGTGGTCATACAACACTGAGCTGACCTCCCTGTGCTATGCGGCTGCTTCCCACCAGCCGACTATTTTACATTCTGTAGTGTGTATATGTCGATGCTACTCTCACTTCGCCCCAGCTTCGCCCTCCCACCCCATGTCATGAAGTCCATTCTCTATGTCTACCTCTTTATTCCTGTCCTGCAACTAGGTTCATCAGGACCTTTTTTTTTTTTTTTTTTAGATTCCATATATATGTGTTAGCATACGGTATTTGTTTTTCTCTTTCTGACTTACTTCACTCTGTATGACAGACTCTAGGTCCATCCACCTCACTACAAATAACTGTTTCATTTCTTTTTATGGCTGAGTAATATTCCATTGTATATATGTGCCACGTCTTCTTTATCCATTCATCTGTCCATGGACATGCAGGTTGCTTCCACATCCTGGAATTGATTTTGGGGAATTCGATTGGCCAGAGAAGATCTGGAGTTAGTTTTGCCTTGGCTGAAATTTCTTCCCGTTTTTCTCTAGAATTAATGATAACAGTAGTAATTGTGCAACGGCAACTGTTTACTGTGCATTTAGAATATGCGTGGCCAGGTACTAAGAAGCCATATGAGAGAGGCTCCCCATCTCACAGATGGAGAAACTGAGGCTCCCAGAAGCTAGGTAATTAGCCAAAGTTCATTCAATACCAATTCGGGGATCTTGGATTTTTCAGATTCCCAAGCCCATATTTTTAACGCTATGCCTTCTTCATGTTTTTACCATGAATCAAGCCCCCTTGTTGATGACCTACTCTCGTTAGAATTTATGCAGTTGTGTTATTTGCCTGAGATATTGCCCCTGGACCCGGGGGGTAGGATTCAAGGGATATCTCTTTTGCCAACACGTTAAGTGAAGTCTGAAAAGTGTCCTGGGATAATGGCAGAATGTACCTGTCTGAATATGATGAGCATGAACCAGAACATAAGGCACCTTTAAGGCTGAACTGGAGGCAAAACTTGTATTGGGGATTCTTCCCATCCTCCCTGATATATCCCATCACTTAACATCACATCTGGGTTTGGTGCCACAGGGGGCAGTAGACCAAGAGGGAATTATGGAATGTTCCAAAGAGAGAAGGGATCTTCCTGTAACAGGGCTTTCACCAAAACGTACCCTTTGAGCCAGTCTGAATCCACATCCACATTCTGCTCCCTTGGGTGTCATGAGGTCAGTCAAACACCCTGAGAGTCGTTCTGGGGGCAAGGGCAGACTCTGGCTTCCTGACAGTAACTCAAGGCCCTGAATTACTAATTTAAAAAGGAGGAATTCTGGGAGCAGCAATCAGGATGTTCATTCCATCTGTCCATTGGTACCAGCTTCACTTTACAACTGGGTTACATCCGTGCCCTGAAATGCTGCTTCCAGAGCTTATGGCGTCCAAAGCAATTTTGGCAACATCAAAGCGCTTCCGTTGACTTCTGTATTATGATCTCCAGAATTCAGTGGAAAAGTGAGAACCGATGTCTTGCCCTATTAATAACTGTTTCAGATAGAAGACCTTAAACCGACATCAGAGAGCAAATTCTACCACCATGATATTCTATTGCTTCCCAACAAAAACAATTTCGTTTTTCCCCCTCGTCTCTGCCTCCTCTGTTCCCTCCTTCCTTCCTGGTAACTTTTATTTTTCCTGGCTCGTGTGTCTCTCCTGGAGGACGTTTAGTACCAGTAGCACCTGAACTTTGCTAACGAGATGACTAACCCTTGCCTTTGCCCAAACGTTGTTTCGGAAGGTCAGCCCTCAGTGTGAAGTAAACTCAGTCCTCCTCTGAACCTTCTGTTCCACTCTAACCCCTCTTGGTACTTAAATTCTACATCTAGCAATGACTTTCCACCTTGAACAGTCAGTCTCTACTTGAATAGGCAACTGGAGGTGATCAAAGCATGACTTAAATCATTGTTTACTGTTGTAAAGCTCCTTTCAACCAGCTTCCCGTTAATCACACTACAAAATAATAGAAAGGTGGGGAGTGATTGCTGGTATCAATAAAACAATGTCAGCTGAGGACAGAAGCAACCAGACACAGCCCCTGGGAACTGTTGAACTGCCTTATTATTTCTGAAGGATTGTCCAGCCTGGCAGTTCCGAGTTACGTGCTCTCAAGCCAAAGGCTATACTCAGAGGGACACCCCAGCCGCCAAGACGACAGGCAGCAGGTTTAGACCTCTGGCATGGTTACATCTCCAGGCTCTGTACCTCAATAACACAGGGGCGGATTTGTTAACCAGAATGTCAATATATTACCATGCAATTAAATGCAAGATATATATATATGTATATATTTTTTATCTAGGAGCAAAAAAACCTCTGAAACTATAAAGTTAGTTGTATTGAGAATCTGACATTACAGAAAAACCGCGAGGACTGTGGTTCAGCTACGCCAGCTGGACTAGCCACCCTTCTCCACTGTCACACATCCTCACGTTCACAAATATGGACAGATGTTCCTGTGTGCCACTGTTCTATAAATACATAATACAATGTCAAGGAGTGATACGTGCTAAAAAAAAAAAAAAGAAAGGAAAAAAAGGGGGGGGGGGGGGGGGGAGGGACGGAGATGCAGGAGGGAGGAGATATGGGGATATATGTATATGTATAACTGATTCACTTTGTTATAAAGCATAAACTAACACACCATTGTAAAGCAATTATACTCCAATAAAGATGTAAAAAAAAAAAAATTTTTTTAAAAGAAGAGAGGGTAGGGCTTCCCTGGTGGCGCAGTGGTTGGGAGTCCGCCTGCCGATGCAGGGGACGCGGGTTCGTGCCCTGGTCCGGGGGGATCCCACATGCCGCGGAGCAGCTGATCCCGTGGGCCATGGCCACCGAGCCTGCGTGTCCGGAGCCTGTGCTCCGCGACAGGAGAGGCCACAGCCGTGAGAGGCCCGCATACCCCAAAAAAAAAAAAAAAAAAAGAGGAGAGGGCGAAGGTACCTTGAGGAGGGGACATCGGAGCAGAAAACTGAGTGAAGATGGATAAACTACATGAACATCTGGGGGAAGGGCCAGCACAGCAGTGGGGAGAATACAAAGGCCCTGAGGAAATGTGCTTGCTGTGCTCATAAGGATGGGCTTTGTTTCTTAGCAAACATATTGTAACTGACTCGGTACACCCACATGAGTGTCTCACCCTCAAAGTAAGCAGAGCTAAGCTTATTATAACAAGGTATCCTTTTGGAATTGCAACTTGCATCTTCAGATTGTCATTTACATCCCCTGCCTCTCAAACCTCCACGGAACTAACCAAAGCACACAAAAATTAGCCAAGAAAAGAGTGCTGGGAAATAGCAAAGTGAAAAGCTGGAAACTTTGTGGACAGTGTGATGCAGACGGGGCGGGATGGACGGCTAAATGGATCAGGGCTGATTGGCCTGTGACTCAGCACCTGCAAAGGGAGACATGGCTGCACTTCCCCCGCAGTGTCTGGCAAAAATTCTCAGAGCTCAGAGCTGCCTTAGACAAGAATGTCCCAAAGGCATGCATAACAAGGGATAAAGACAAAAACCACCGTAACTGCATGGGGGCTGGTCCGCTCCCTCAGCCTCACACAGCGGGGACTACCCACCAGGTCACAGAAGGATGTGCCTGACTGTCTCCTCATGTCGATGGGGGGGACCAGAAAGCAAGAGAATGTGGATCAGGGTAACCTGCGTGTGCCCCAGCTTCAAGAAGAGAGAGAGGTCACTGATAATGGCTTTGCTTTCTGGGTTAACTCCTGCCCGATTCCCACCAGTAGAAACACCCAGAAGATCTCACAAGCAGATGCGTGGTTGGGATGGGATGAACCAGGATTTGCAAACTCCCTTCTCTACTGCCCCCAAGCTCCCTTAGGAGAAGGAGGCTTGCCACCAGAGCATCCCCTGCCAGCACCCACCTCGCTGGAGGGAGCCCTAAGGGAAGTCCCCTGTCTTCCCCTTCTCCCCGCTGCCCACACCGAGCATCAGCCTGTCCCTTAACAGGGGGGTTTGTGTTTCACCTGGTAGGTGAAGATATTATGCTTGCCCATTCCATTTACATTTTCTATTTACATTATCTCAATGTTTTTTCTTTTCCTTTCCTATCAGATACTAGGTTCATTAAATTTTCTTTGTCCTTTTCTACACTCTTTGAAGCTCTACATTCTATTTCTAGTCTACTAGAGTTTTGCTTCCATTTTTAGCTAACTCAATTGAACCACATTTTCTAGCAACATCAATAATTAAATAGTGTTTTAACCTCCCTCTCCTCCAAGTCAAACAAGATGATATGTTGACAACTTCCTGTATGCCCTCTTCTTAATGACCCCTTGCCCTTAAGCTTTGTTGAAATAACGTTGAATTTTAGTTCCAAGATTGTAATTATTATCATGAGGGCTTTTTTTTTTTTTACTTCTAATAGACTTTATTTTTTTAGAGCACTTTTAGGTTCACTTTCCGTACTTTTGAGCAGAAAGTAGAGTTCCCATATATCCTTTGCTCCCACCTCCATGCACACACAGCCTCTCCCACTATAAAACCACGCACCAGAGCAGTACATTTGATACAATCAATGAACCTGACACATCATTATCATCCCAAATCATAGTTTACATTAAGGTTCACTCTTGGTGCTGGTGTTGTACATTCTGTGGGTTTTCACAGACATATAATGACATGTATCACCATTGTAACGTCACACAGGGTAGTTTCACTGCCTTAAAAATCCTCTGGGCTCCCGCTATTCATCCCTCTCTTCCCCAATCCCTGCAGCCACTGATCCTTTCCTGTCTCCATAGTTTTGTCTTTTCCAGGATGTCACACAGTTAGAATTATACAGTATGTAGCTTTTTTCATATTGGCTTCCTTCACTTAGTAATATGCATCTAAGCTTCCTCCATGGCATTCTTTTTTTTTAGTGCTAAATAATATTCCATTGTCTGGATGTACCACAGTTTATTCTCCATTCACCTACTGAAGGGCATCTTGGTTACCTCCAAGTTTTGGCAATTATAAATAAAGCTGCCATAAACATCCATGTGCAGGTTTTCCTGAGGATGTGTGGACATAAAATTTCAATTCATCTGGATAAATACCAAGGAGTGCAACTGCTAGACTGCATGGTAAGATCATGTTTAGTTTTGTAAGAAACTGCCCAACTTCCAAAGCGGCCGCACCGTTTTGCATTCCAACCAGCGACGGACGAGAGTTTCTTCTGCTCCACATGATCATCAGCAAGTGGGATCCTCAGTATCTGGCATTTTTGCCATTCTAATGGTGTATAATGGTATCTAGCTGTTGTTTTAATTTGCAGTTCTCTAGGGACATACACTGTTTAGTTTTTTAAATCCTTTAAAAATGTGTTTGTCTTAGTCTGTTGGGTCTGCTGGAACAAGATGCCACAGACTGGGTGGCAAGAGAGATAAACAACAGAAATTTATTTCTCACAGTTCTGGAAGCTGAAAGTCCAAGATCAGGGAGCCAGCATGAGCAGATGAAGGCCCTCTTCTGGGTCACGGTCTTCTTTTATCCTCACATGGCGGAAGAAGCTAGGGAGCTCTGTGGGGTCTCTTTTATAAGCACACTAATCCCATTCATGAGGGCTCCACCCTCATGACCTAATCACCCCCAAAGACCCCACCTCCTAATACCATCACCTTGGGGGTTAGGATTCCAACATATGAATTTGGGGGGAACACAAACATTCAGACCATAACAGTATTAAACCTCATGACTACATTAACAGCAATTATTTAAATGTAACTTTAAGTGCTAATGTTTCATCACTCACTATAGCGTTCCTTTCCCTTTTCTGAGTTCATTCACTTAATCCACAAATATTGACCTGCAGGGAGATCGAACAGCCACAAGCTCACAGTCTCTTGTCTTCCTGGAACGTACATCCCCCAGCGAGAGCTTTAAGTTATTTTGTATTTGGCTGGAGTATGCCCTTAAGTCTTTATTTTTTTAGTCATTCTTCTCCAAACACTCTTCCCCTGAAAGGAAGCATGGCTTTTCCTTGACCTCCTCTAGGTCTTGGCTCCAATGTCACCTTCTCAGCGAGCACTTCCGAATCCATGCCATTTACAATGGCACCTTCCTGTGTTATTCTCCTGCACAACACTTCTTACACTCAAAGCATCACATTTCATCGAAGGCAGCAAGAATTTTAAGACACACCATTAGGTAGTGTGTCACTAAATGAGAAGACTTGCCAGCCAAGTCAAGGCCTTAATTTTAGGCCACACTGCTCAGGTTTCTTTGTGTAATTCAGAAGTTTTAAGCGATGTCTTCAGCCTCTGGTCAAAATCCTTGGCATGTGATAGGCAATCCATTTGCAAGTACAGCTCGCTAATAAAACATGATATGGCTACATCTACTTCAAGGTATCTTCCTTTCTTAAGGTGTCAAAACACTGCTGGTTGTTTATAAGAAAATACGGAATTGCGGTCATTCTTCCAAGAATGAATATTTGCTTCTTGGTTCCCGTGACTTTTTGTGTACATAACTTTTTGTTTCAATGCCGAATCACCATAGAATCTCTCTAAAGACATTTTAAGTAGCAAATAAAATCCTATGCATAGAGTACCAACAATGTGCATGACCAGATTGAAGTAGCAACAATATTACTAACAGCTGTTATCAAACACAAGTCCATATGCCCCACGCACGGGGAGGCCAAACAATACCAAACTGTCAGAGTTTGGAGCAGAGAAAGGTTTAATGCAGGGCCATGCAAGGCGACAAGTGGCTCATGCGTTAAAAACCCCCAACTCCCCAAAAGCTTTCAGCAAAGCCCTTTTATAGGAAAGGTGAGGGAAGGGTGTGGTAAGTTGTTGCTAACTTCTTGGTTTCAGAGCCTTTGTTCTTGAGGTCGGGTCACGGTCAGGTCACGATGTTCCTGTAAACCTCCACCAAAACAAATGTTATTCTCCGTTCTGACAAGAAAGGGCAAGGTCCCACGGCTCAACTTTCCCCCTCCGAGGTCCAGGTCCTGGCTAAGAGGAGAGGGTCTCAGGTCGGGCCGGGGACCCTGCCCCGGAGCGCTCGTCCAGCACCCAGTCTGGGTCTTCCCTCCAGTGCCCAGGCCGGCTGAAGAGGCAGCTCTCAGCTGGTGGCACCCTCAGGGCCAGGTCCCCAGACCCTGCTCAGCCATCATTGCTGAGGGAGCCAGGCACCCAGGGCCCGGCTGGCCCTCAAGCTTTTCATTTAAACTGGAGAGAATCGTTTGTATAGGATCCATAGAAATACGTGTTGTAGCAAATACCAATCAGGTTAATCCCCAGCTCACGACAACTGTCCTTCTTTGAGAAGAGCCCCAAACACAGAGGTGAACCTGAGGTCATGACGTGTAACGTCCTTGCAACTTAACACTGACGCCTGGCCACCCCCTAGGGGTAGACAACTGATCTAAGCTGGACCAATTTCTGAAACGTGAATGGAGAGACTGAAGCTGGTTGAAGCTGTTACCTTACTGGCAGTGTCCATATACTCCAGCTGCTGAGGCCTCCGTGGACCGCGACCCGTGGAGACCGCCGCCGCCACCGCCAGCAGGTCGCATAGGTGGGGCTGGGGGAGAGGCTCGCTGCTGCTTCAAGGCCTGCGGGCGGCCGTGGCGAGGGCTCTGGAGCTCTGCGGAACAGTCCCCAGCCTGTACCCGGGTGCCCCAGCTCACCCGCTGGCCCGAGGCGGGAGGGCCTGGAGGGCCCCGGGGAGAAGGCTGCGGACCCGCCTCTCCCCGTGCTCTCCGCCGCAAGCACCACGGCTGCCAGGCGGGCCTTTGGCGGGACGGGACCTCCGACCGCCGCACTCTGGGGTCTCGCGAGAGCAGCTGCGCCCCGGCCCCACCCCTATTACACAGCTGTGGTCAGGTTTGCCCATTCACGGGGCGAGGAGAAATGCTTAGAGGCGGCTTCCTGGCCAACAGCAACTGTAAGGTGCCCGTGATTGTAGAAGGAAGGCCTCCCAACTTCAGAGCAGCTCATGTGCAGCTCTGTACTTCCCCAAGTCAACAAAATACGGTAATTTAGCTGCATTGTCTGTTTACATGCACCCTCTGCGAGTCTGCAAGCTGTGTGAAAATGGGGAAATTGTCTGTCTACTGATATACCGTGGATGCCTAGAAGAGAACCTGGCCAACAGGACGCATTCAAATATTTGCTGAGGAAATGCGTAAATGAAGCAGGATTTGAGGCTATGTCTGCTTACCTAGAAAACCATGAATTCCCCCAGCCGACACTCCGGAGCCCTTCACTCGAGCTTGGAACGCACTTTCATGGTCGTGTTCACTCTGTGTGTTCCTGCCCCTCTGGGGGCTAGAAGCCTCTTTTCTGGTAAAAAGGGGAACAGTTGACTGGCACATGTCATCCAGAAGATGAGTGTTGATGTTCTAGACTGCGGTGGGGTTTTTATCAAATGCTTGTAGAATCAAGTGTTAAAAATCAAAAGAAGAGCATGAGAAGGAAAGAAAGAAAGAAAGGAGAGAAAGAAAGGAAGGAAAGAAAGAGAAAGAAAGAAAGGAAGGAAGGAAAGAAAGGGAAGGAAGGACCAAAGAAAGGGAAAGAAAGGAAGGAAGGAAAGAAAGAAAGAAAAGGAAGGAAGGAAGAAAAGGGAAGGAAGGAAGAAAGAAGGGAGGGAAGAAAGAAAGAAGGGAAGGAAGGGAGGGAGGGAGGAAGCAGAGACCATCTCCTATACACTCTAGGAAGTTTACTCACTAATGCTCTTGGCTCCTGGTCTGATGGGAGGGGGAGCACAGGTATTGATTCCTGGGCACTTTGATGTTTGAGGGGCCAGGGAGCTTCTCGGGCAACCCAAGAAGAGCGACAACCCTGAGCAGGCCCTTGTTCTGTGCTTCTAAGGAGGGCATCTGTGCTTGACCTCCAGACCTGTGTGCCTGTGTGCCAGTGCAGGCAGACCAGTTTCAGAATCCCTCAGCTTCATATACAGCCTAACAAAAAGAAAAACTATTTCTCAGTAACTACACATTGGCTTAAATTCCTACTCTTATGGTTCTGTATCACAGAAACTTATGGCTGGGAAACATGATGAGTGACCTCTGTGGACAGATGCTTCTTTTCTTTCATTCTCAGGACATAGGAATTGGCTTTGACAACCATCAAGGAAGGGATCCAAGGCTTTGGAGCCCAATAGTACAGGATATCTCTTTAAATTACCTTGATAGGCCGTCTAAGCTCCTCCGTTATGTTTACATTTCGTTTGATAATCTCATTTTACGGGAAAGATATGTGATGTGCTATTCTACACGAATTAGCACAACTTAACTTTTCATTTCAGATATGAAATGAAATACAAACAGAGTCTTGAGTCTTTAAGATCTTAATACCACAAACTCAGCCTCAGGTTACTGATGACTTTAGTGATTGGTGCAGTAGAAAACTGTGACTGCTTTTCCATTCAAAATTCAGAGAATAACAAGCTGGGGGGAAAGTCTCTTGATACAGGGATCCTGAAAGTGTGGTCAGGGAAGAGTACTAATCAAAGCCTGGATGCTGGACCCAACGTTCACCTCATTCATTCATTCATTCACTGTGATTCAGTGAGTGCCCACCAGCAGCTCCAGGCACCACACCAGGCACTGGGGCTACAGAGTAACATGGGGCATGGCCAGTGTCTGGAGGGAAAGAGCTGATAAAGTCTGTTGTTAGAATGAATTTAAATTTTACTTACTCAGTATTTATTCCTTCCCTTACATGGTGCTCTTTTCAAAGAAACACATCCATCCTGTTCAAATAATGGTAAAACCCTTTATATCAATAGAAGAGACTGCTTGAATTAAGACACTGCTGCGTGGATTTTACCTCCCCAAAATGTACACTGAAGGCCCTCCTTCCAAATTTCTAGTAGGAGCATCCCAAAGTGCCTCTTCCTCCAAGAACAGGGGAGAGTCCAGCTTTTTCAAGGGCCTCGCGCTCCAGTGCCCCCATAGCCCTCATCGGCAGACAAATCTCTGCATCATTTAAAGCAGACATGAAAATAGAGCTTAGGGCCAAAAGAAATTACAAAGCAAAAGTGAAGGATAATTTATTATGCATGAGCTCTCCTCCCCTTAAAACCTCCCTTTGTTCCGTTTTTATAGGGATCTGGTTTTTTAAGAGAATTCCAAATGAAATTTCCTACAAACAGATGCTTGTACTCACTCAGCTTCCCAATAAGGGGCCAGGAAAAGGAGATGAAGATGAGGCCTCAGGGTCTGGGGTTTGCACTGACAAACGTGGTAAGGCCAATACACATTCGACAGATTTATTGCAATGGTGGCCAGTGCTATTGATTTAAACAACTAACAGGTAAAGCAAATCTAATCTAAGTTCCTTTGCTGCAATGTGAATGCACCCTAATTATCTCACCTTTGTCCCTCGGAACAGGTCAAGTTGTATTCACTCCAATGCATATTGGCAGTTGCTAGAACCCCCGGGAAGGGCTGGTTGATAGGCAAGATATTATTGCAGCGCAGCGGGAGGCTGCTCGGAGATGAAATTAGAGATCCTTTCTTTCAAGACCTTCATATTGTGAAAGCCCCTGGTTTCCTGCTTCTTCCCAGACACGCTGGTGTCCAATTCCTAGATGACCAGGGCTTTTTTACAACACCAATCATTAGGTTTAATTAAAATGTTGCCATTGAAAAAATGGATTGTGAGATATTTCATACTATATAAGAGTATATAAAACATGTCTGTGTTGTAAATATTTATAAAGCAAATACTCATGCAACCGTGATCCAGGTTAATTCGAAGAGATACAGGCACCCCAATGTACATAGCAGCACTATTTACGATAGCCAAGACATGGAAGCAACCTAAATGTCCATTACAAGATGAATGGGTAAAGAAGACATGGTATATATACACACAGTGGAATATTATTGAGCTATAAAAAAGAATGAAATCATGCCATTTGCAGCAACATAGATGGACCTAGAGATGATCACACTAAGTGAAGTAAACCAAAGATAAGTATCATATGATATCACTTATACATGGAATCTAAAACAATGATACAAATGAACTTATTTACAAAACAGAAATAGACCCACAGACATAGAAAACAAACTTATGGTTACCAAAGGGTAAAGTGGGAGGGGGGAGGGATAAATGAGGAGTATGGGATTAACCTATACACACTAGCGTATATAAAATGGATACCCAACAAGGACCTACCGCATAGCACAGGTGACTGTACTCAATACTTTGTAATAACCTGTAAAGGGAAAAGAATCTGGAAAAGAATATACATATTCTGACACCTTGACTTTGGCCTTGTGAGAGTTAAGCAGGGAACCCAGTCAAGCCCATCTGACTTCTGGCCTAATACAGCTGTGTACTAATAAGTGTGTGATATTTTAAGCTGCTATATTTGTAGTGATTTTTGTTACACAGCGTTAGAAAACTAATGCAATGTCCATACAGGTGTTTTCCGAAGTGCGGCAGCAATATTTATTCCCACCCCCAGTAGTTCTAATTGTTCCACGTTCTTTCCAACACATGAAATTGTCAGTTGTTTAAAAATTTTAAATCTGGTGTGAATGTACTGGTATTACACTCTAGCTTTAATTTGCATTTCTATAATTACTAATGAGGCTGGCCATCCTTCACACTTTTGTTGGCCATTGAGTTTTCCTTCTTTTGTGCAATATTTGTCGACATCTTATAACCCAATTTTCTATTGGGTTCTTTGTCTTATTAACTGATACCTTTTCTCTATATATTCTGGATGTGAGTCCTTTGTCAATTATTATTTTGCTAATATCTTTCTTACAATTTTTGTCTTAAGAAATGTTTCATTATTCCAAAGTCCTCAAAATATTCTTTTATAAATGCTTTATAACTTTGCTTTCATATTTAGGTTCTTTAATCCACCTGGAATTAATTTTTTTGTATGGTGTGATGTAGAATCCATTTTTTCCCCATCTGGATAAATCATCATTTCAGTAACATTTATTAAAATGTCAGTTCTTCCCTCACAGATTTGCAATGTCACCTGTGTTGTATACCCAATGATAATATCTGTGTAGATCTGGGTTTTGGACCACATTCTGTTCCATTGTTTAATTTTTTCTTTCTACATCTATACCACACAATCTTAACTATTAGAGTATTATACTATGCCTTGATGTCTGGTAGGGCTAAGCTTCCTAGACTGATCCCTTTTCCTTGGCTATGATTTTTCTCCCTTTATATGATAATTTAGAAAATTACTTTAATTAATGTTTGTAGTCAAACTAGCCTTGCATTCCTGGAATAAACAAAATTGGTTATGACATATTATCCTTTTAATATGTTGCTGGATTTAGTTTGCCAATATATTGTATAGAATTTTTGCATCGATGATCATAAGTGTTATTGGCCAGTAATTTTCCTGTCTCCTACTTGTCCTTTTTTTTTTATCAAGATTTTGGAAACCTCATAAATTGAGTTGGAGAGTGTTTGCTTTTTTGCTGTGCTCAGGAATCGTTTGTGTAAAATTGATTTAGTTAAAAATTTAACTATCTGATAGAACTTGCCTTTGAGGCTATCTATGCCTGGACTTTTAAGATTTTTTTTGATCACTATTTAATTTCTTTAAAGCATATTATATTATTTAAGAAAATTTTGGTTTTTTTAATGTTATATCTTTCTCCCTGATTCCAAATTATTTCATATAAAGCAATTTTCAGTAGCAGCCACAAAAGGTGTTAAGCTTGCTAGTTTTTGAGTCTGGAACTATTATTCAGGAAGATCAGACAGATCCGCCCAGAAATGAGAGAACGTGACAACCAGAGAAAGGGGAAGACAATCTTACTTACAGAACAGGGACGTAGTTTCTAATGTCACAGACTATGTAAATCTCAGCTTGTCACTCCAAAGAAAAAGATATTCCAGGTTTCATGTACTTAACTCATCTTCTAAAAAGAGAAAATTGGCCACCACAGGGAGCCGTCCTTTTAAACTTACCTCTGACAACACATTGTGCTCCTTTCTTCTTCCCTCCATTTATTAGATTTTTAATTGCAAGGGCAATTTCCATACATATTTCTCTGCAATGTCCACAATTTTCTGATAATTTAGGCCAGCTCCAATTTATAGGCAAGGAAACTGCTTTTCCAAAATCAATCAAATGACTCCAAGAAATGCGGCTGCAGAGCCAAGATCTGAATCTAAGAACCCTAGGATTGGAAGAGACCTCAGAACTTATTTGGGGAGCTCCCTTTTTCCACTGAGAAGTTTAATAAGGTACAGCCAGTGAGGGGCAGAGGCCCAGACAGAACCAAGTGCCTGATCCTAGGCCAGGGTCCCATCCATTACCTGGTGAGATTTTCCCCTAATTGGAGCCACTGCACTGAAGCTACTTAAAGTTCTGTCAGGAGGGTCAAGCTTGCCTTTGTGCAAGGTCTGCGCAGGGATAATTTCAAGTCTCTTTCTCAGTAACGCAAACACTTTCCGGTGTAGTGACCCCTGGTTCAAATGGCAGAAGCAATCCTGAATTGTAATAGAAAGTGCCCTAAACTCAAAACCAAGACATGCTCAGGCACAAATGAACATTTCATATTCTATATCGGTTTACATTTTATAAAGAAATGTTAAAAGCATCTGCTGACTTCCATTTCTCTGGTGTTTTACAGTGTACAGGGCACTTTCTCCCATGCTGTTCATTTACTGCAATTCAGCAAAACTGTGTTTAGTTCAGGCCACCGCAGACGTTGATGAGATCCTTGTAATGTGTCGAGGCAAACGAGTACAAGCTCCATCGTGCGTGACAGAGCCTGACCCAGGTAGGGACCCTTCTAGGGCTAGGGGGAGCCAAGCAGGGCCATGGATGTGAGGGGCAGCCTGGTGGTCAGGATTTTTCAGCTGAACCACGAGTAATTGGTGAGATTTCACCAGATGGCCAGTACACCCGATGTGGGGAGAGCAGAGTTGCAGAAGCAGGAAGCTAGGTGGCAGCGTGACACAGAGGCTAAGGGCACAGGCTTTGCCATCAAGAGGGAACCTGGGTCTGAGCTCCAGGGACCTCTGTTTACTAGCTGTGTGGCCTCAGGTGAGTTCCTTGGCCTCTCTCTGCCTCAGTTTCCCCACAGATAAGCAGAGGGTGATGATAGGACGTAGCTCTTGGGTTGTGGTGAAGATGAACAGATAAAGCACTTGGCAGAACACCTGACGCCTGGCAAAATTCACCTGCTATGAGTTCAAAACACTGGAAGTAGCCCGATGGAGCGGCCAGGATGGAGAGACTTCCAGGAGAGAGAAACGGGGCTCTATTATATTGACAAGGGAGACAGTTTCTGAGCAAGGCGGTGATGTTCAGAGTTGTGTGTCAGGAAAGAATTTTAGTATTAGGAAAGGAAAAAGATTGGAAGCAAAGAATGGAGGAAGAGAGTCTGCGTGAGAAATGGTTCCATGGTTTGTTCATTTTGTGTGTGAATCTATTTCCTCCCTGGAACACCGGCTCCCGGAGGGCAGCCCTGCACCCTCCTTACTCAAGGGGGGTCCCGGGCTGGTACTCAGCGGACTCCACCCTGGATTGGCCGGATGAATGAATGAACGGGTGAAATTGGGCTTCTCACACTCAGTTGTGGACAGGAAAAGTCCAGTTAGCCCATTTTATGGATAAGAAACACAGCACATCCAGAGGCTCAGGGACTCATCCACTGCCCCACAGGGAGAGGCAGCTCTGGAACCAGAAGAGAGGACTGTTTACTCTGTGTGCAGGAGGCCAGCATAACAAATGGACATGTTTGATTTACATTAGTTCACCTAAGATCAAGAACAGAAGATGAATATTCTGAAAAAGAATTCTAAGGCCTACAGAGGAAATAATAATAAAAATAATAGTAGATTCATTAATTCCAATTCTAATTAAAAATTTAAAGTTCTCCTCCTGATGCACACTAGATGGCAGCATCTTGCACCACTTTGAGGGCAGCAACAATGGCAACCGGCCCTCCGTGAGGGGTATCTATAGAGGCTGCGCCCTAAGCCTTTGAGGGCAGCAACAATGGCAACCGGCCCCCTCCGTGAAGGGTATCTATAGAGGCTGCGCCCTAAGCCTTTGAGGGCAGTAACAATGGCAACCGGCCCCTCCGTGAGGGGTATCTATAGAGGCTGCGCCCTAAGCCTTTGAGGGCAGCAACAATGGCAACCGGCCCCCTCCGTGAAGGGTATCTATAGAGACTGCGCCCTAAGCTAGGGCCTGATTTTTATTATTTTATTTAATCCTCATGACCACTTAATTCTGCAGGTTAAAGCAGCCTAGCAGAAAGGATCAAATCCAGAAACCTGAGGTCACCAACCTTCCTCATGCAAAGAGGTTTCTTGTGGCTGCCTTGCCTTGTCACTGAAGATGCCCCGCAGGGAAGCCTTGCTTCCTAGAAGCCTCTGAATCAGGGTCCTTCCGTGGTGAGAAGGGGTAGCAGGGACAGAGGAGTCCCTGGGCCTTAGAATGGGCCGGCGACCCCTCCCACGCACCTCCCTTCCTGGCCCCCTGATATCTGCTGAGCTGGGCCAGCCCTGGGCACACTGCAGACAGCCCACGCCTGCCAGTGCCCACACTGCCTCTTTCCAGGCCCCATCTTTCAATGGCAAATATTTATTGAGCACCTATTATGCACCAGCAATATGCCCCAAACACAAACCCCCAAGCCCCGTACGCCTTTGCCCCAGCGCCATCCATCACGACCGCCCTCCTTCTCCCAGATCCTCGGGGTTCCTGCTCGGCTTCTGCAAGCCCCCCTGCTCAGGCCCGGCCTGTCTCCTTTCTTCCCCAGCCCACAGGGACCGTCCTGGCTGTTCCCAGTGCTTGAGGTGCATCGAGGTGTCTGTGCCAGGCAGCAGTGGGTAACTGTTCTCTCTCCCCA